ACTAGGTCAAACCTAGCTTTATCTCTTATCCTGATTTCTAAATTCTGCTTTTGTGAAACAGCCCTCAGGTTGGGTTGGCACGCCCACAGCCTGACTCTGCTGTGTTACTAGCTGAACCTCCACTATAAGGAAGGTGGACTTGTGGGTAACCTGTGTGTCTGTAGGTTTGTTGTAGGAAGTAACAGTCATGTCAGCAGCAATGAAAATAAGGTACACGTTGAAAAATACCAAAGTTACCCTTTAAGTAGGCTGTAATGTGGCAAGTACAATAGTTACTGAAAGTGTTGTGTTCGATGTAGCAGAAGAGAAATAAAAGTTCCTGTTCATGTTACATGTGCATTCTGCACAGCAGAGTTGTGTGCAACTTTAATTTGAGCCAATGTTAACATCAACTGACTAGCCAGTTGTCAGCATTGGTGGCTGAACCCAAAAGCAGACTGGACACAGAACAACAGTTTAGAACAGGTGAGCAGGGTTCCAAACCTGAAGGGAACAGAGTGATCAGTATCATAGGTAACAATACAGAAAACCAGATACTGCGATGGGCCTCGAAGTCTTGTACTCACTAATTTGACATACCAATCCAGCAGCTATTGGATGGACTGCCAGGCTTGATAAAGGGGAGCTGATCAGGAACCAGAATACAGGTGGACCAATTAGCCGATTGTCTGCAGCCAACCAGTTGCCAAACTTTTCCTAGGAAAGCAAGGGAAAACAGAGAAAGACCCAGAGCGAGAGAGGGAGAGAAAGAAAGAGAACCAAAACTAACCCAAGCCCAACACAAACACAAATAACCCCTCACTCCACCTCCGACATGTACATACTTCTGCATCCTTTGTACTCTGCTGACTGCACTATTTGTCAATATGTCTATATTGTTTTTGTTCATAGTGTGTATATTTGTGTTGTCTACACTGAAGTGTGTGTCTGACTTTATTTTATTTTTATAATTGTGATTTTGTATTTTTGTATTAGTAAGCACATCGTGAGCAATGTACAATCCAGAGTCAAATTCTTCGTATGTGTACACATACCATGCAATAAAGCTGATTCTGATTCTGATTATACGGAAGCCTGAAAAGACGCACGGCAAGTCAACATTGAAAGCAGTGAGGAGAAAATTAAAAGTATACTTCAATGGGGGAAAAAATTGATTTGTAAAAAGTGTGAATCAATTCAAAATCTTAGAAGAAAATAATTGCAAGTCTTACTTGAATCAATCCCCCCCACCCCTACTATGACTGAAGCCTTTCACATTACACAGTCATATGATCCATTGATTTTGTAAAAATATCTAGGCTTATTGGAGACATGAGATTGATATCATCTCATCTAACTCTTGGAAAGAAGATAAATAACCTTATTTTCTAAAATGTTTTCCCATTATTTTCTTGATTTCTGTTCTAGAAATTATTTCAAAGTACATTCAGGTTTTTGGACACTGATTCAGATTCCTGTTTCCCTGCTGTCGTCCAAACTGATATCATTATTTTTGTCCTGATTACTTCCCTGGTGTGGATGCTAAAAGATGAGGTAAATGGGGGGGACTGTAGATGAGGGCACAGACAGAGAAAGGGAGTAGAGCTTTCATCTTGTATCTGCAGGAGGCACGGATAAAGGGCAAGCTGACAGAGAGGGGATGTCAGTATTACACTGAGGTAGAGAGAAACTGAGCAGAGTGAAAGCTGGGCATCTGCAGTGACTCAGCATCAGGCAGTGTGGATCATTTGATTGGCTGTTCATGTAGGACAGAGGGAGGGAGGATGAACAGCGGTCCACTGTAACCACTCCTCCTCCTCCTCAGATTACATCATCCGTTAGTTCTCCTGGGGCGATGACACCACCCACAGCCCTTTCTCTTTATTCACCCCTTTCTCTTTTGATCCAACTCTAGCACTAAGCACCGTTTCTTCTCTCGCTCCTCCATCTTTCTCAAAAAGCAAAAACTGTGCAGCTTTATTGGACTTTAAAAGGAGCCTACCAGTAAGAAAGAAATACGAAACTGAAACAAAGCTATCTGTGGTTCTGACACCAGCCTTATTCATGTTGCACTTGTCATGCAGTAACAGCGTGAGCTGTCCCACCTTAAAGCAACTAAAAATTATTGGGTCAGGCAGTCCTAGTCAGTGAGCTTGTCCCATTTTACCTACATGCCCCAGTATGCATCACACATTAAGGAACATCCAGACCAGGCAAGAAATGTTATCTCATTGCACTTTTCATACAGAGCAGGTCTAGACTGTACTCTTTCTAATATTATTTACAGAGTCCCAACAATTCGAGAGCAAGCAAGCACTTGGCGACAAAGGCAAGGAAAAACTCCCTTTAAAGGAGACCTATTATACTGTATTTCTCCTGTATGGCAGCATTGCACGATTCAAAGTTCATCTTATACTGACTCTTCATGCAGGCCTTCATTTTAGCCTCTGTCTGTAACAAGCTGTAGATACTCCTGTCTCTTTAAGCCTCTCTCTAAAGGCTTTGGTGTAACACAGAGTGTTTAGAACAGAAGGAAATCTGAGGTTTTGGCTCACAGGGATTTCTTTTAAATACTTTTACCTCATTATTTGAAGATTTGGCCATGTTTAACATGAACATCCAACATTGTAACATTGTGGAAAAGAAATAAAACATAGAAAAGCATAACAGGTCTCCTTTAAGGGGGCAGAGAAACCTGACTCAGAGTGGGCAGCTATCTGCCTCGACTATACTTAACATAAACAATAAAGTATTATAGTTTTTTCATGAATCAGACGCAAATACTATCCCTGATGTTTACGTATCTGAAAGCAGTAGCAGGTATTTGCATGGAATTTTGGTGACAGCTGGATATAACATTAGCGACCTGGTGAATAGTCTCCTCACATACACTGCAGAGCTAAATAGATAACGAAATTAAAAGTAAATATAGTGAGCGGCTGCTGATATGTTCACGACTTCATATTGATTGAAATGATCAGGTACATTCCACACAATTAGGCTGGTCTGTTTCTTCATTTGCTATTGTGACTAATGTTGCAGCCAAAGCCACATCCTGCTGCAGCCTTCAGATGAACATGACATGACTTAAATGTCATATGATTAACATAATCTCATTTGACCAGACCAGTGTATGAAATGACCCAGCTAAATTTATGATAGTAACTTCATGAGCCTATTGAACAAAACCTTATTAAAGTAATCCAAGGGCTGTTTCTCAAACGGTGTCTATGCTCAAATTTTAAAAATATCATGTCATCTTTGTGGGCTCAAGGGTTAACCACAACAATGGTCTCTTTTCTGTAGCTTTCCACCCACCACTTTTAATTCCAGATGCCCATAAATCCTGATTTGTTACTTCTTCTATTCATATAGTTTTTTTGCATATAACATGTGTGGTCGCATGTGAAACTAGCTACCTCACTATTCAGTAATAATGCATTTATAGGAGTAGAAAAACAGTTTTCTGCTCTCCAGTGTGTCAGCTGTTATGACTGCAGGACCTCAATAGCTTGCCTATTGGACAACAGAGTCAGCATATTGTTCACACTGCACCATTTTTCATACTACACAACTCTGAACAGCCACATTTTTCAATTCACTTAAATTTTATTTATATTGCGCCAAATCACAACAACAGTTATCTCTGAGCGCTTTTCATAAAAGAGCAGGTCTAGACCGTACTCTATGATGTTATTTACAGAAACCCAACAGTTCCCACCAAGAGCAAGCACTAGGCGACAGAGGCAAGGAAAAACTTCCTTTTAAGAGTCAGAAACCTCGAGCAGAACCATGGCTCAGGGTGGGCGGCCATCTGCCTCCACCGGTTGGGGGTGAAGGAGAGAGGGGAGTTAGGGAGAGGGGAGGGAGGCAGCCTACACAATATCCACACAGAGGTACAGACAGTAAAGGTTATGTTGCTATAGACTGATTGAAAAATGGTACAGATATTTACAGTAGTGTTAATGATAACAGTCGTAATTTTAATGATTATAATAACAATAATAACACTAGGACTAGTAACAATAGTTGTTGTAGCAGAGGGTGTCGAGCAGGAACACGGGGGCAGCAGGTGACCCGCAACCACAGATCCAGACTCCACCGCTCCAGAGCCAGAAACACCTGCAGGAAGTGATAGGAGGAGAGAGGAGAGGGACGAGAAAGCACAAGACTACTGGAAAGGGAAGAAGTCGAGTTAGTAACATGCATTAATGGGATGAGGTTGCATACAGAGGGAGAGAAAGTAGAGGAGAGAGGAGCTCAGTGCATCATAGGAAATCCCCCGGCAGTCTAGGCCTATAGCAGCATAACTAAGGGATGGTTCAGGACTACCTGAGCCAGCCCTAACTATAAGCTTTATCAAAGAGGAAAGTCTTAAGCCTACTCTTAAATGTGGAGATGGTGTCTGCCTCCTGAACCCAAACTGGAACCTGGTTCCACAGGAGAGGAGCTTGATAGCTGAACGCTCTGGCTCCTAGTCTACTTTTGGAGACTCTAGGAACCACAAGTAAGCCTGCATTCTGGGAGCGCAGTGCTCTGGTGGGGTAGTAAGTTACTATGAGCTCTTTAAGATAAGACCATTAAGAGCTTTGTAGGTAAGAAGAAGGATTTTAAATTCTATTCTGGATTTTACTGGAAGCCAATGCAGAGAAGCTAAGACAGGAGAAATGTGATCTCTTTTCCTGGTTCCTGTCAGAACACGTGCTGCAGCATTCTGGATCAGCTGAAGAGTCTTAATGGACTTTTTCGAGCAGCCTGATAATAAGGAATTGCAGTAATCCAGCCTAGAAGTAACAAATGCATGGACTAGTTTTTCTGCATCATTTTTAGACAGAATTCAGAAGTAAACTGGTGACCCCTTATGCAGCTGTTTTGATTCAAGACATGGACAAGGACAACACTTTTTCACACAACTAATGTCTTTTGTGGTTGCAGTAGGAAAAAAAGTGTAACGAGTCACCATTATAACTAATACGTGAATTAAAAGTGTGTTTTCTGGTCCGTATTCTGCCCTTGTGTAGTCTGGTCTGGTGTCCCGTGAAAACCCAGAGCAGCTGATCATCTCCTTGGAACCTGAGGCAGCATCAATCTATTGCCGCAAGCTCCGCCTCCACCAGATGGTTGACCTAGGCACCCAGACTACCCAGAATGGCTTCAGCCCCACTGACAACACGGGTGGTGGAATGACCCAAGGTACGTCCCATCAACCCTGACATCAAGTGGTGCTGATTGTACCATGATGATGCTTATCTCCTCGTCTCTACACTTGAGTGAGCATTAATCATCCACACCCCTGTGCTGTTGAGCAGATTTTTCTGAATGTGTATTTAGTTTTTCTTTAAAGATTTCCTTTGGTAGCTTTAGTATTGACATTGTAACATACTGTTGACATACTGTTTTTTCTCCATACTGTTTCTTCCATAGTTTCTCCAGGTCAAGGTAAACACACTTTCTGTTTAAATTTAGACAGGAAATGCATGAGGGTTCAAAGCCACAGTTACTTTTTATTTCTTTCCAACCATCACATTTCAACTTGCTTTTGCTTCTCTTCCGAGATTCTATCCTATGCAAAAAGCATATCTTTAGACTGGGAAGTCCAATAATAAACTACAATATTTGCTGTTCTTGAAGAAAATGTGTGTGATTGCTGCATTTGCTGCTGTTGCTTCTTGTAATTGATGTACATTAATCAAAGTTCTGTAAATTGTCAAAACATACATTTTCAGAGTAAGTACACACATTATTTTACTTAAATTTTATTTATATAGCGCCAAATCACAACAACAGTTATCTCACAGCGCTTTTCATAAAAGAGCAGGTCTAGAACGTACTCTGTGATGATATTTACAGAAGCCCAACAGCTCCCACCAAGAGCAGCACTAGGCAACAGAGGCAAGAAAAAACTTCCTTTTAAAGAGTCAGAAACCTCGAGCAGAACCATGGCTCAGGGTGGGCGGCCATCTGCCTCGACTGGTTGGGGTGAAGGGGAGAGAGAGAGAGAGAGAGAGAGAGAGAGAGAGAGAGAGAGAGAGGAACAGAGAGGAACAGAGAGGGATGGAAGTAGACAGTAGTGACAGTATTTAAAGAGAGAGTAAGTAATAGTAATTTAATACACTTGTTGTTAAATTTTGCAAAAATGTCCTCACGGTTTACTAGGTCTCCGTTTTGTGTGTGCTCTGTGCCACTGCAGGGGGGCATGGATGTTGAGCAGACCTAAAATTGCATGAATTTGATTCATGTGGTGGCATAGCCAAAAAATGGCTCAGATACAAGCAAGGCTATATTGCTAACCTAAATCTGTGTTAAGTGTTGTTAGTGATTGCTAAACATGAAATCCACTTTTGCTGAAGTTGTTCAGCTTTTTTCATGACAGAAAAAGTTTGAGAACCACTGACGTAGAGGAACTGCTAGAACTGCTAAGAACAAAGGATGTCACCAGGAGTCCCTTGTAGGGATCCTTTCCATGATGTAATACACCTGGTCTGAGCTTGTCGGTGGCAAAAAGAAGCACTTTTGTGGATGTTATTTTGACGGGTGTAATTTCCTTGAAGGAACACATTGCAGCCACTGCAGCCAGTTCAGCTGCCTCCTGAAGCATCTACTGCACAGATTCAAAACGTTTACCTACTTGTCATTTAGACAGCAAAATATCTGAAAATAGAGCCCAGGTTAAAAAATATCAAAATGACCCTTTAAATGTTACAAACTTTGGATTGTTGCGATATGTACATCATTCCCAAATTTGGTTGCAACACAATTTAGCATTGAAGAGTTGTGGCCCGTTAAGTGCATTAGACCACGCCTTCAAAAGTTTGGAAACCAATTACAGACAAGTGATGCCCAAAAGCAAACTTTTTGATCGGGGTCATCTAAAGATGGTGTCCAAGTTTGGTGAAGATTAAATGAAATATGGTCCAGGTGGCCATGACCTGTTTTTATTGAAACAGCAGCAGAGATTATAGCCAAACCTGTCACTTACATTTTCAACCTTTCAGTCTTTACAGAAAAAGTTCATGTTTCATGGCTTTTGTTACACATCTTTACTGTCTTATCAATTTAAAACGTTACTAGACTGGACTTTAGATCCAGGCATAGTACAGTGTCTTTGAAAGTAATTGATGACATAAAAGTGTCCATTGATAAGAAGTCATTCTGTGTGGCCATGTTTCTCACTAAGGCCTCTCACAGTAGACCATTGCATGCTAATAAACGCCTTGTTGAAGGTTGGTACCAGTTATATAGCTGCAGAGCAATCAGAGTAATCTTTCTGATCAGATGCAATTTGTCAGACATGGGAATGTTACATCTGACCCTGTTGTTCGTAAAAAGGGTGTTCCCCAAGGATCTACTTTAGATCCTCTGCTTTTTGTCATCTATATTAATAATATCTGCAGGCAGACTTAACACTCCATTTATATTAGACTTTGCTTCACTGCAGCATGCTCTTATTGACCTGAAGCTGCTTTTAAATGCACATAAGACTAAGGCAATACAATTTGCTCCTTGCAGTGTCAAGGTTCCAGCTCTCTCTGTAAACACCGTTGAAGGTGTTGCTATTGAGTTTGTTGATATTTATAAATATCTTGGTGTCTGGTTGGACAAAAGCACATTGAAGCTCTTGCTAGGAAACTTAAATTTACATTGGGCTTTTTTATACAGGTTAAAGTCATGTTTTTATATGGATTTATTTAAATGGCTGATGGTAGGGTTATTGCTGCTGCAGATAGATTACGGTGACATAATTTGCCACTTTGCTTGTCTGTCTGCCTTGTCCAAACTCGACCCTCTTTATCACGCTGCTCTCAGATTTATTACAAATGCAGGCTTTAAGACACGTTATTGTACCTTATATGACTTAGTAAATTAGACATCCTTTGGTATACGTAGGATACATAGGAACACTGGTCCATAAGGTCATTCTTGGAAAGTTACCTACACTTATAAGTTAACCTATCAAGTTATGCTGGTTACATGTATGCATCTCAGTCAGTCTGTGTATATATTTTTGTATGACAACTAATAGTCATGTCCGCTATGTATTGTATTGTTTATTATAATCGTCCTATTCTCCTTGTAATGACTTTAAACTCGGAGGCCCTCTTAGCTAGGTCTCCCTTGTAAAAGAAATTCTTTCTCAATGGGACTTTCCTGGTAAAATAAAGGTAAAATGAAAAATAAATTAGAGTAGCCTGTAAGACAAACAGAAATGTTACAGTTGAACAACTCTTTTGAAAGACTTGAAAACTGGCTAATTTACCAAGCTTCACTTGAAGGGCCACTTGCAAGGTTTGAGCTGAACACCAGGCAGATTTTTGTACCTTTCATTTTTAACAAAATTTTATATTTTCGATTTATTTCTATATTTTATTTTTTATTTAAATTAAACATAATGTAAATTACCTTAATATTTACTTATTGAAAATTGCAACCCTATTTAATTATCATGGAGTCCAGACAATGAGCAAGGATGTGAGACAGGAACAGTCAACTTTTGACTGCAAATGCTACACGTAGTTAAATCTCAATAAAATAAAATCAAACCATCATTTTTGACTTATATTGCTCCGTACTCTTATTAATTTTAAATATTATTGAAATATTACTAAATTCTGATTCAACAGAACATTTTGTAATAAAACATCTCTATTGAAAAGCATGCATTAAAACTTCTAAAAGTCTTGTTGGAAGGTAATTGTGCATTTATATGATGCTGTTGGAAAGTTAGGCTGATGTAATATTAACTGTAGACCTCTGTCATGCACTCTGCAAAGCTAATGAGAGTTGGAGAGCTGTCCTTCCTTCCTTTGTATTGTCTCCTGTGTGTAGGAAATGTCTCTCTGACATTAACTTCTGCCAGGTCTTCCTGCCATTAGACAGTAAACCTCAGTTCACACTGACTTCACTGTATTACAGGTTAACTAGCCTGTAGTTCTATACTGTGGTTGTTAGATAAGTAAAAACATAAT